GCTGCAAAACCAGCTTTGAATAGGCCATGTCCTAGCAGCCCAGCTAAGCCTCTGGCTTATCATTCAGAGGGGAGTTGCTTCCTATAGCCCAATAGGTGCTGGCTGCATGCCTGGCAGAAGGTGCTTGTCTGTGCTTTGCCTGCTCCTTCTCCTCGAATAAAGTGCCGTCTCCCACACTGTCAGTCTTATCAGCTCCTGCACCAGCAGCTGAAGTTCTGGCCCGTGTGTTAGCCTGGGCAATCAGTGAAGCACAGTGTCATACACTTCTCTGCCCAGGAAGGATAATCCACAGTCAGTGTCTCTCTTTGGGTTTAAAATAAAACCTACTCTTTGTGAGTGTGTGTGTGTGTGTATGTAGTTTTTTAAAACATATTTATTTGAAAGAGTTACAGAGACAAAGGGAGAATTAGAAAGAGATAGATAGATAGGGATCTTCCAAGTGCTGGTTCACTCTCCAAATAGCTGCAATGGCCAGGGCTGGGCCAGGCTGAGGCCGGGAGCCTGGAACTCCATCCAGGTCTCCTGTAGGTGCAGGGGCCCAAGCACTTGGACCATCTTCCGCTGCTTTCCCAGGTGCATTAACAGGGAGCTGGATTGGAAGCGGAGCAGCCAGGACTCAAATACTGAGCTCACATGGGATGTCAATGTTCCAGGCAGAGGTTTAGGCTGCTGTGCCGCAATGCTGGCCCCACGTGTGTAGTTTTTGATAGTCCACATAATAATTTAGCTTATGTTCCCCAAATACATACCACCTGGGAAGGGACAAAGAGGGGATCCCCTGCCCCATCTATCTTCCGAAGCCTGCTCTGATTAGGTCACTACTTCCCGTGTGGCAGGCACTGTGCTGTAGGTGCATGGTCCCTTAGCACTTTTAGTCCTCTAGCCCCTGAGGTGGGGACTAAGGTGTATGTTTCCCAGGACAGGAGAAAGCTTGGAACGTCTACGGAAGGCCAAGGTCGCCCCACCAGTAGGAGTGAAGTGGGTGTTCTCTGCCTTCATGGGCTTTGCTTTTAACCATGGTTCACAACTGGGCTGATCAGATTGTGCTCTGGGGGACTTTAGGGCCAGGGGCCTGGCATTGAGTGGGCAGAAACCAGGGATGCAGCTCAGCATGCTACAGTGCACAGGATATTCCCACAATGAATTAGCCCACCCCGAATTTCAGCCATGCACTGAGAAGCTTAGATGGGCTGAGGAGCCCCCCAGTCCCCTTCCCCCATCACCCCACCTCCATTTCCCTCTATAGCTCAGGTCCTTGTGCCAGCTCGTCTTTGAGTCACAGGGTAGAATCTCTAGGCTGTGAATGGAAGAAGCAAGGTCTTAGAGGAACTCCTTGAGAATTAATGTTTAAAGAAAGGAAATGGATTTTATTGGGGGCATGAGTGCCAGGCACTGGCTGAGACACCTTTAAATCCATTTTATTATTTATCCTTCAAAACAGCCCTTAGGCTTAAAGAAAAATCAGTATTGCTCCCCACCCCCGACCCCCCTCCTTTTTAAAGCAGTGAAGAAATGGAGACTTGGAAAGATTAACGTATCAAGGTCACATGAGTGAGAGGCAGAGCCGGGATTCGAATCCAGGCTTCTTTGATTCCAAAGTCTCTCCTTCACATACTTGGCACTTTTTTAAAAAAATAGAAATAATGAAATCTATGCAGAAGGTAAAGTAGGGAGCTGAAAAAAGAGCATTAACAATCCCCTCCTTTTAAATTAAAGGGACCACTTTTTATACCCCATAAAGTCGTCCCTGTGCACCATAGAAGGTCTACGTGGGACTGTGGGTGGGTTGGTTATAATAAAGCTTTTTTACAGTTCTCAAGGCACATTTATTATCCATGATCTCATTTGATCTTCTCAACAGTCCTGCCAGGCTGTTAGGGGCAAACATCCTCGTTTACAACTGAAAAACTGGGCCTCAGAGGGCTAGGACTTGGCCCGAGACCTTCAGCCAAACCAGCCTCAGCCTCGTGGGCCCACCCTGGGGGCACCGTCTCTGCTGTTCCCTGCTGGGCTGGGGACCCTGACCTTCTTTGCTCACAAGCCTGGGTGAGCTCAAGTGAACTGTGACTCACTAAGGGTTAAGCCACATAAAATCTTTTATGAGTGGTAACCATTTAGTGCACCCTGTAAAAAGGGCCCCTCACCACGCTGGCTCCTTTCCCTTGGAAAAGGGGTACCAGCCGGGATCAATGCTGGCACACAGGCCCACCTCTGGAGGGGGTGGCTGGGTGGGTGGGGCAGCGGTGGTCCTGTATTCCTCGAGGCTTTTCTGGGTGAAGGGCAGTTCTGGAAGCTTCCGGAAGGTCATGGAGAAATGATGCCTGCCTTCAGGAAAAGGGCTTCTGAGCATTTGGCCACAAGTAGAGAACTGGCCCTGAGACATTCATTGAGCTCACTTTTTATTACCTGCTAAACTCTCTATGTACAATGGCTTCGTTGGTTCTCACTCTGCGAACTCCTTGAGTTTGGCGTTGTTCCCATTTTACAGGTGGGGAAAGGGAGGGTCATAAAGTCTTGGGCTAGCCTGATTTGGAACTTTCTCAAGGTTATCCAGAGTCAAGCAGAAGAAAAATCTGAGTTCTCATCTCCCCAGCCGCAACGACTGGGCACTCTGTCCCATCACCCTGCTTTCTGTTGACTGGGAAGCAGTGGATGCAAACCCTGGGGTGGTAACTCTGAGTTGACCCAGTAGGTCTTGTTCCCACTGGCATGGCCACTTTGAAACAGCTCTGAAAGCACATGTTGGTGTAAGAATTTCAGGGAAATCTTTCCCAGCCTGGCTGCTCCAAGCCTGGACGGCCAACCCCTTGGTGCAAATGGGCTGGGCTCAGAGCTTCAGTACATTCAGGGTTAAACAGTAACCTTTCCACTGCTTGTGGTTGAGCAAATGCTGGCAAGGAATAAGCCCAGCCTTGAGCAAACAAGAGACTGGGCCATGTCCACCCCTCCCCCAGCTACCTTCCTTGCAGACCTGGACATTGTCTTTTGCCTTGAAGTCCCCAAACTGATTTCTTAGCTTTAGGGCAAATGCTCTAGAAAGCTGGGTAGGAAAATATTGGGTTATTCTTGAGAGAAAAAGTGTGTGTGTGTGTGTGTGTGTGAGAGAGAGAGAGAGAGAGAGAGAGAGATGCTTGTCTTGAGTCGGCTTTCCTTCTCCAAGGGTGAGGGTCATGATCTGAACATGAACTTGGAAATCAGTGGTGTCACCTTCTTCAGGTTACCTGATGGGGGAATTGAGGCCCAGTGGTGTTTCTGATTCTGCTTATCCAGACAGGAAATGGCTCTCCTCCTCCTAACGCCTGCCCTGTTTAATTGTGCTGCACGCTCTGGACCTATAGAAACTCATTTAATCTCCAACCAATGTCCAGCCTCGGTATGATGATCTGGATTCTGCACAAGAGTCAACCAGGGTTCAAAGAGGGGAAGGAACTTGTTGAGTGAGGACTGATCTTAGCACGTTAGGTAGGAATCCACTCCAGCTCTTCTGGCTTCAGAGTTCTTACCTGGGGAGCCAGGACACATAGCCCAGCTTCCCGATCTCCCCACCAGGGCTCCTGTACGGTTATGATGGCCACCATTCCTACCTTCTCTTTCCTTCTCCACCTGCTACTTAGGCCGCATTCAGAACTGATTGTTTACAAGGCAGCAATGTTACAGTGCTCACAGTCATCACAAATGTTCAAGTCCAGCCTCGTTTAATTCTTAATCACTGCTCTAGCCCTGGTACCTAGCACAGCACCCAGCCCATGAGTGGACCAATAAATATGGTTGAATAAATGAACACATATATACATTTTTACACCTTTCCCACACCCCTGTTCTCCAACCTCAGGCCCTAGGCAGAACCAGAGGAGCAGTAGCTAAATTAGGAGATAGGGATGTCAAGGGCTGGAATCACGCTGGGTGGGCATGGGTGACCCTCGAGGGTGCAAGATTGCCTCAAAACAGACAAGTGTTCCCGGTCTCCTGCTGTAAAGCTAGACGCCTCTCTCCACCTCAAGATTTTACAATGCACAAGGTACTTTTACAGCTTCGGGGAAAAGCGCAAGAGCCTTCTGGAAAGAGGCTGCAGTTCCTTTGCATGACTGAACACACTGCTGGGTCTGGTCTGTAAGTGGAGGGTGGCCAGCCCGGCAGTGGGGGCAGCGTGCACGCCCGATGATTGAAGAGAAGCTGTGCCCAGTGAGGACTTCCCACACTGTCAGAAAGTCGCCACAGGTCCATGGAAGAAAGCTCTTCCCCAGGTCTTTCCCGGGAAAACTATCCTGCAGATGGAGGAAGGAAGATTCCTGTGGAAGTCGGTTGAATTCTCCAGGTCTCCAACCGGAGAAGAAAACCTAATCATGATTTTTTTCCCCCAGAGAGGAACAATTTCATTTTCTTTACCCACAAAGGGGCCGTGTCTATCAGAGAAATCACTGAGTTATGGCGTGACCACGTAGCCAAGCTCTTGACCTAACTGGGTCACTACCGAGACCCTCTGCGGACCAGCCCACCCCGAGTAGGCACCACCCGGGAGAACCTGTTCCCGGGACCCCAGGTGCTGGGTGGCTGGGGTGGGCCGGGGACTCGTGGGAGTTCCTGCGTAGGCGCTGGGTCTGCCCCGCTTCCGGCTCGAGTTTTCATTGATTGAAATTCCACTTTAAACACAATCTCTTTGGCATTTTCACTTTTGTAAAATACTTGGATCCTGGCCAGACGCGCCCTGGGAGCAGGTATTGCATTTTCCTCTCGCTTCATTTCTGATCAGAGATTATTCATTTATGAATGGGTGGCTGTAAAAACTTGCCTCATGCATATGAAAATTGAACCTGGATATTTTTAATTGCCGTTGAGTTTTGCTTTTGCTTAAAGGGCTGTGGCCATGGGCGGAAGGACACATTGGTTTTTTTTTTTTTTTTTTCTTTTCTTTTCTTCCTAAAGTAACGCTAGGATCGGCACCCTCAATTGACGTTTGTCCGAGAGGCACTGCCTGAATGGGCTGTTTGGTCCCCTTACAGATCATGATTCTGGAAGGGAGTGGTGTAATGAATCTGAACCCCAGCAACAGCCTCCACCACCAGCAGCCCGCCTGGGCGGACAGCTACTCCACGTGCAACGGTAAGGGGGCCCCGCGGGCGTGGGCGTCGCTGCCAGCCCTGGGGATTCTTCCTCGGCTGGAATTCCTCTTCCCCGGGGACATTTGCAACCAGGAGAGGCTGAGGGGATGGCGCGGGTGGCTCTTGATTTCTAGAGTTCTCTACTGAGCTCCAGGGCGCCGGGCAAAAACTCACTTTCGTTTTCTATCATCTCCAGTGAAAATTCAAGGTTCCGGGTTGGCAGCCTGGCAGTGAGGGTGGGGGAAGCTTGTTTTTGGGGTATATCGGGAGAGGATAGGAGGGGTGTGTGTGTGTGTGTGTGTGTGTGTAACACACGGAGATAGGAAGGCTAAGAGGCAGAGGACCACAACTGATCTTTTCTATATTATCTTCCATCTTTGGAAAGGGAGAGGAGACTGTGGAGGAGCTAGGCCTCTGCTTTAGAGCTTTAATCTACAATATGCTGATCAGAACTTGGTGGGGAATAGCGGAACAGAATGAATCTGATGCAGAATCCGGGGCAGCTCACCCCATTGGGAAGACACCGGGGGAAGCCGAGTGCTGCACATCCAACATCCAAGTGCTGGCCCTCACCCTATTCCACTCCTGTTGCTAATCTCCTTGCCGGAGGTGCTGTTGACCTTATTTGCCTTGAAACATGGAAGTGGCCTGTTGGGGAGCAGAGTCGGAGAGGCCAGGAGTGGCAGGATATTGGGAGAGTTGGATTCTCTGACAAGTGGCCCTGATCCACATGGAGCTCCACCTCTTGGTATTTGGACTCCCAGCCAAGCATGGTGGACAGCGTGAACAGGTGGCCTTAGGTGGCCTTCCCTTATTCAATCATCCGTCCTACCAAAGCTGTGCTCTTTCTGGACAGGTGCATTTTCTGTCGCAGACCTCAGATTCCCTGGAGGAACCTAGAAGGACACTTTCACGTGAAGCAGGAAGTCTTGGGCACCCCTGGGCACCCTTCTTTTGGGCAGTGTTTCTCCTGTTGGCTTTGGAGAAAGCTAGAGGAAGGGAGAAGTTGAGTGGTGTGTTTATTTCTGAACTTTCAGAGGCCCCAAAGAAGGCTCAGCTCCCGATGAAGACTAATGGGCGCAGGATAGAGCAGGTCTGAACCCCGAGGACGTTCGGTGTTCCTCCTGAAACTCCAGGAAGCTGAGGGACCCACTGCCTGCTGGGGGAGTCTTCCCTCAGCAGATATCAGACAAAATTCTGTGATATTCTGAGTCTAAACAGGATGTAATATCAGGAACTGTGCTTCCAGCTAGATCCTAGTAAGTTTGCAGAAGAGATTATTCCAAGCCCGTTGTTGGGTTGTTGAAAGCTGTGGCCTCTTGTTGGCTGACCCAGAACTGCAGTGTCATAGCAACGCAATTCTTTCAGAAAAGAAAGACAAAGGACTCCGGGAGCCACTAAAAATAGACAGTCCACCCTTAAACAGCTATAGTTGTGAGACATCAGAAGTGGAGGAAAACAGAAACAGCTAGTCTAAGCTCTGTGTGGTTACTCGTCTGGAAATTCACTCTCCCTGCCTCCCTCCCTCCCTCCCTCCCTCCCTTCCATCCTTCCCTCTTCTTTTACTTTCTTTTCTCTCTCACTCTCTTTTCAGTTATTTAAGAGGGAGTGAGAGCAAGTGAGTGAGACAGAGAGCAAGCAAACACACTGATTTACTCTCCGAATGCCTACAACAGCTGGGACGAGGCCAGGCTGAAGCCAGGGCTCCCACATGGGTGGCAGAAACCCAATTACTTGAGCCATCAAGTGCTGCCTCCCAGAGTCTGCATCAACAAGAAGTTGGGGTCAGGCGCTGGAGCTGGATATTGAATCCAGGTTCTCAGATGTGGGATACAGAGGTGTGTGTGTGTGTGTGTGTGTGTGTGTGTGTGTGTGTTTTAAGATTTATTTATTTATCTGTAAGTCAGAGTTACACACAGAGAGGAGAAGCAGAGAGAGAGAGAGAGATTCCATCCACTGATTCACTCTCCAATTGGCCTCAAAGGCTGGAGCTGTGCTGATCTGAAGCCAGGAACCAGCAGCCTCTGGGTTTCCCACGTGGGTGCAGGGGCCCAAGGACTTGGGTCATCTTCCAGTGCCCTCCCAGGCCATAGCAGAGAGCTGGATCGGAAGTGGGGCAGCCAGGACTTGAACCGGCACCCATATGGAATGCGGGCACCACAGGCAGCAGCTTCACCTGCTACACCATAGCACTGGACACACACAGAGGTGTTTTTTTTGTTTTTTTTTTTTTTTTTTTATCAGTGTCTTAACTACTAGGCCAATTGCCTGTCCTGGTAATTCTTCTATATAACCAGATTTTTGAACTCAAGTTTTCAATCCTTATCCCTTCCCCACACCAACACTAAAGATGTCCTTTTTAGGGCTGCTTCTGTGTGGCCATGAGGATAAGAAGTAAAGCTCAGATACCTAAATAAATCTTAAAAAAGGGAGAAGTAAAACATACTGTGAGCGGCAGGTATTGTCAGTGGCGGTCACTTTTGTTCCCTAAATTATTTTGACCTCCTGATCTTAGTGATTCTAAGGTTTGGAAGCAGAGGATGGATCCTGAGGGTGTTAGAAAAAGTGGGATTGGGTTGGAAACACTACCCCCCGGCCCTTCTCCTCTGGGAGTATTGAGGGCTAGGCCATGGGTATCACGGGGATCAGGCCTTTCTGAGCCCTCTAGCACCTGTCGCCTTACAGACCTGCGGCAGGGGCATGGTGTGGAAGCTTGTCAGGAATGCAGAAACTCAGGCCTCACCCCAGGCCTGCTGAATCAGATTCTGCATTTGGACAGTCGTCCCGTCCCTGGTGATTCATGGTCATGGTGAATTTTGAGACGTTCTCATCTAGGATGACCTTGAAGAAAAAGGGACAGTCTCTTGGCACTGCATTTCCTCCACTGGGCGAACCTTGAGTTTGTGGAAGTATCTGCACGTCGTGTTCAGCTGGATTGCACCTGCTCCAGTTAGTGGGCTGCAGCGGCGTCGCCCCGGCCCTTGCTCCTCACCTTTCTTGGAAGGGACTGCTCCCCTTCACCTCTGCCTTCCAGGGAACTCTAAGATCTTCTGGCCTTCTTAGGTACCCTGGACACAAGATCTCTCTTTTTTAATTTATTTGTTTGAAAGAGAAAGAGAGAGAGAGAGAGAGACCTTCCATCTGTTGGTTCACTCCCCCAAATGGCTGCAATGGCCTGGGATGGGCCAGGCCAAAGACAGGAGCCAGGAGCTTCACCTGCATCTCCCACATAGGTGGCAGAGGCCCAAACACTTGGGCCATCTTCCATTGTTTTCTCAGGCACATTAGCAGAGAGCTGGATGGGAGTAGAGCTGCTAGGACTCAAACTGGTGCCCATATGGGATGCCAGCCTTGTAGGCAGTGACTTAACCCACCATGCCACAGCGCCAGCCCCAGACTACGTGATCTTTACATACTTAAGTGGTCAGCACAGTAGAGGCTGAGCAATAGTTACTTGAATGAACTTCACTTCTTCACTGCTGTCTGCATTAATCACCTTGTAATACACCGTACAACTCTTCAAGGTTCTTACCCAATTTCTTCTTCAGCAACAAATTCTATTAAATAAACACACAGTGAGCAACCACTATGGCAAGGTCTCTGGGTAGGTTTTATAGGAGATACAAAGGTAAGAGTTTCTGACCTTGAATATACAATCTACAAAGGAGAATGAGACCATACCAGAGACTTTTAGAGACAAGCAGGACCTAACAAAGGCCAGTATGAGAAAGACCATGAGTGTCTCCTGGAAATTCAGAGGACAGGGAGCCCTCGCTGTAAGTTGAGGTATCCGAGCTGGCTTTATGAGGTGGTCAGAGTTGGAAAGATGGGTAGGAGTTCAACAGGAGTGACAGGCAGAATGCTAACTGGGCTAACAGAACAGCACAGATGAAAAGACAAGGGGCCAGCATTGTGGCCTAGTGGGTGAAGCTGCCACCTGCGATGCTGGCATCCCGTATGGGTGCTGGTTTGAGTCCCAGTTGCTCCACTTCTGATCCAGTTCCTGCTAATGGCGTGGGAAAGCAGTAGAAGATGGCTCAAGTGCTTGGGCCCCTACCATTCACGTGGGAGACCCAGATGAATCTCCTGGCTCCTGGCTTCAGTCTGGTATAGCTCTAGCCATTGTGGCCACTTGGGGAGTGAACTAGCAGATGGAAGGTCTCCTCTCTCTCTCTCTCTCTCTCTCTCTCTCTCTCCCCCTCCCTCCCCTTTTCCCTCTCTGTAGCTGTGTCTTTCAAATAAGTAAATGAAAATTTGGGAAAAAAAGACAAGAGTCCTAGTTCCGACGAGGAGTAGTTAGTGAAGAGCCTCAATGGCTGGATTGACAGGTTTATATTTAACTTCAGTGGATGGGGGGGGGGGGTCCTGAAGGTAACTGAGCAGGTCAGTGACATCATGGTTGCTATAGTAACCAGCCTGGGGCAGTGGGATATCAGCACGGTTAGCAGATGGATAATATAGACCACTTTGGGGAGAAACAAAGTCATTTTAGAGAAAAGGATCTTAATTTCAGGCCTTGATTTTGGTTGCCAATGGTGTCTGAATTTGAGGATGTGTGTGTGTGTGTGTTTGAGAAAGAAAATGGGACAGAGAGTTGAGAGGAGGAGAATTAGTCGGGTGTGGATAGTAAGCCACGGTGCAGAGACTCTAGCCAAGATTATTCAGCTTTCACATTAGTTTACTCTGGGGGAGGTAGGGAGCGAGCACAGAGCGCTTCAGCTTTTGTGTCCTCATCTAGTGCCTAGGGACAAGTATCACGCTGTGGAGGACACGGTGACACACAGAGGCTAAAAGACCACAAGTGGGAGAAGAACCATATTGCTGTGAACCCCCTGTCTTGTGTTCTACCCCATATCCTGGGGTGCACGCACTGTGGTTGTGCTCCCCATAAACTCCAGCGGCCAGCAGTGCATCCCCGTGTCTGAGACTCTGCCCCCTGGGTACAGCCAGGGGTCACTCAGTCATGGGGCTACCTCTTGTTTTGCAGTTTCCAGCGGGTTTTTTGGAGGCCAGTGGCATGAGATCCATCCTCAGTACTGGACCAAGTACCAGGTGTGGGAGTGGCTCCAGCACCTCCTGGACACCAATCAGCTGGACGCCAGTTGCATTCCCTTCCAGGAGTTTGACATCAATGGCGAGCACCTTTGCAGCATGAGTTTGCAAGAATTCACCAGGGCAGCAGGGACGGCGGGACAGCTCCTCTACAGCAACCTGCAGCATCTCAAGTGGAATGGTGACTCTCTCTCTCTCTCTCTCTCTCTCTCTCTCTCTCTCCCCCTCTCTCTCTCCCTTCTTGCCAGGAGCTGGTTGGGAAGAGCAGTGGCTCTGCCCATGGCTGGGTTCCTTATCAGGATTACCCATGACAGGGAAGTGGGAGGGAGATGAGGGGACAGGTGCAAAGCCTGGGGTACCAGGTGTATCCAATCCCATAAAATTCTAATATAATTGAGGTGTCGCCTTCAGGCTCTGCCATGTCAATTTTTAAGGAGACAAGCACTGGCTGGATCTTCACAGAATACTTGCTACTCTGAAGCAACCCTTTTTTCTCTCCTTTGCTAACAGGGTTCAATGTTCTAATTCAGTATTTTAATAATTTACTTTAAAAACCAATAAAGTCTTCTAGACTTAGGTTCTTAAGGTGAGAGTTTAAGGGGGATGGGATGCTGTATGCAATTAGATCTGTGTTTGTGTTTGGGTGGAGGGAGGGCTTACAGTACTTTGACAGATCCTTAACCTGTCCAGAGCTCTACAGAAGGGTTAGAATGAATGCTCTAGACACGGGGAGGGTGTTTCTGCAGTGGCTTCTGCAATTGCTGCCGCCCCAAAGCCTCAGGTGTCTCTGCCAAGGCCTCCCTTTTCCCACAGATAGGTCACCATGGCAAATGCTGCTCACTGCTGATAGCTTCTTCAACCATCACACATGCTACGTTGGCTTGTAGTTCTCAGTAGGGCTGCCAGCTCATCTTGCAAGCTGTCTCTGCCACTGGCATAAAGTTCCCCTGATAGTGTTAAAAAAAAAAAGCTCTAAACAGCAATGTTTAAGGCCCGCAAGATGTGTCTTTACAGCGGAGAGTGTGTTTATGTCTTGGCAGAAGCCATGTTTGGGTAGGTTAACTGGGGCTCCGGAAGTGTGAGCTCCAGGGCCGTGGTCCGGGGTCAGATCCTGACCACTGCCAGCAGCACCAGCGTAGCTCCAGAGCCTGGCTGCAGAGCCGGCAGTGGTGGCGGCCATTTTGCATGACCTCATTCAGTTCCTGGCACTTGCTCCACCTCCCCACCGCACAGCTGTGGCTGCTCATTTTCCTTTTCCTAGAACCGAACCAAACCCTCAGGAGTCTCCAGAAAGAACAGACTTACACTTGGAGACTCAAAAACTATTTATTTCTCCACTTCCTATTCAATCTACCCCTTTAAAGCTTTGCCCTGCCTGGTTGAAGCCAGAGGCGGGAAGGCCTGGGAGGTGCCGTGGCCGTGTTTGACCTCCCATTGACTTTCCCTGGCTTGTTTGGTCTTACTGCATCCTGCTGTTGCCCCTGAGTGCCTGATGTCATTCAGTTTTCTCGCCCTTGTTTTGTTGTTTGCTTTTTTGGAGATATTCTATTGACTTAACATTTACTGAGTGCTTATTTGCACTAGGTGATCTAAGGTGAATTGATCCATCCATGAACATATAACAAAATATACAATGTACCCATTTTACAAATGGGAAAACTGAAGGCCAAAGAGGTCAGAGGTGTGATCTCTGTTCCTGAAATGTTTATTATTTTTTAAAAGATTTATTTATTTAAGAGGCAGAATTATGGTGGGGCAGGGGAAGACAGAGAGGTCTTCCCTCTGCTGGTTCATTCCCCAAATGGCCACAATGACTGGAGCTGGGCTGATCTGAAGCCAGGAGCCATGAGCTTCTTCTGGGTCTCCTCTGTAGGTGCAGGGGCCCAAGCACTTGGGCCATCCTCTGCTGCTTTCCTAGGCCATCAGCAGAGAGCTGGATTGGAAGAGGAGCAGCTGGGACACAAACTGCATCTATATGGGATCCTGGCATGGCAGGCAGAGGCCTACCCTACTACATACACCACAGTGATAGCCTCTCCTGAAATATTTATAAACTATCTGGGTAGTGAAAATATACTAGATTCATTCACAAGGATATTCGAGAATACTTAAAAGAATTCATGGAAAAATGGAATTAAAAGATAAGGTCCATTTTCCATAAACTCTTGAAGACTCCTTGTGTGTGTTTTATGTATGACACAACCAGAGAGAAGTTGCCAGCAAGCACAAGGAAATGCAATGTGCACTGCTGGTCCCTGTGCTGAAGGCATAAATCAGGGCAGAGTCCCTGCACGCTACACAGACGTCTCTCAGGTATTGGACTCAATCAAGATGAGTTTGATTTGATTTAAATGAAAGAGGGATCACGTTGGTTAAAATGATTTTCTCTGTATTCTCACTTTAATTCATATCACATCGCAGTATGGAAAAGCACCTCAGTGGTCACCCCCAAATGTGCAGACAACGAGACTGAGACCCAGAAGGGCTGATAGGCTCCTTGGATGGGAGTGGAAACACTGATCTTCTGACCTCTGAAACTCTCTTTTCTCCAGAGTAGAGGTCTTTGCTACTCAGTGCCACTTAGTTCCCACTGTTGGAGTACCCTAGGCTACTGGGGACTGCAGACTCGGGCTTGTAGAGGCTGAGTGTAAAGCCCCCTCCCATGAGCACCCACGCTGACCAGGTAGTGAAGGGACTGGCAGAAGCTCTTCAGAGAGGCCGGCTCTGACCTTATTGAAGCATCAAACCCGTGGCTCCCGCTGGGTCCTGTCTGACTTTCCCAATCTGTCTTTCCTAGGTCAGTGCAGCAGTGACCTGTTCCAGTCCACACACAATGTCATTGTCAAGACCGAACAAACCGGTGAGTAGTAGGGGCCAAAGGCAGCCAACTTGGCCAGGTGAAGCTCTGGGAGAACAACAGGGAGGGAGCACAAGAGAGAAAGAGAGAGAGAGAGGGATTGGGTTTTGGTGGGAAACCAGGGGAGGCCTCTTCCTGGCTGTCTCCAGTGGGCTACCCCACCTTGGATGCCATTCCTTGCCCTTGAGAGCCAGTACCTGCCAACTATTTCTGGCCTACAGACAGATGGTGAGAGCCGCCTGTGCCCACACCTCTTTGCTTCCTACTACCACAGGTCAGGGCATCCTCCAAACTCTGGGCAGGACCTAGGAGAAGGCAGAGTCTAAGGCAGCTCTCCCCACTGCGAAAAGAGTCTGGGGTGCGGGGCTTGACCACATTCAGAAAAGTGAAAAAGAGAAGAGGGAGAGTCAGTGTCTCCTCCCCTTGCCCCCTCTCCTAATGAGGGCGTATTTCACAAGAAGGAAAACATGCCAGCCTGGGATTGTGCTCCCCGTGGTCTCTGGAGCCCTCAGGAGCTCCTGGGGGATGGCCAAAGATCGTGGAACTCAACCCCTGCTTCCAGTGCAATATTTTAGAGCAAAGAAACAATGCTTGGCTCGGAGCAATCTGCAGCCCCGTGGTGCCACGTTCCTTTTGGTTCCCCTTCCTCCGTCCCCAGCCTCTGTCCCAGCACTTTCCCCCAGGCCCACAGTTGTGCTCCAACTGTGGCTGCCACTGCTCCTGGGTCCCTCCCTATGTCCTCATCAGGGAGATCGGGTTTGCCACAGGCCTCCCTGAGGGTTGCGTGCCAGTCACCAAGGACAGAATTTGACCTGGTGGTGATTTGTGAGTCACTTGGTGCCAAAATTGGCTCATGCAGTTATTTGTTCTTTAAAAGGGGGCTGGTCTGACATTATTAAAGAATAATTAAAAAAAAAAAAAACCAATAGCTGCTAAGCATGCTAATCGGGACTTCTGAGCCCTGCCCTTCTCTCTAGAAACCAGGGACTGTGTTACCTGGGTGGTCTTTGCTTTAGAGACTTGCCCTTGCACTAGAGGCAGAAGGAGGACTTGGCTAAGAGGACACCACCTCCCCACCCCCGACTTGACCTGCCGGATAGCCCCACTGGAGGAGCCAGGGTGATATTGGAGAGGTCTCAAATAACTCGATAATCCCTCCTTGACTGCCCAGACATTCTTGTGTCGCCAGTTCAGAAAAGCCGAGCTGAAGGGTGGGGAAGAAGGTCCACCCTGGGAGGAGGAGGGGAGCAGAGGCTCCTAGAGGGGCCAACACCCCCAAACCTCTGTGGCTCAGTTTGTTTTCAAAGACAACAACAGGTGTACAAGATGACCCAACAAGAAGAGAGGGTGTAACCCCGAGAGATTGGGCTTGGGGTGCCCAAACACGTAGCTATTAGTTCAAATACCAACTAAATCCCTATGTCGTAAACAGGACTTAGCCAGTGAGTCAGGTTTTATACCATTTATGCTATAAAAACAAAATGAAACTCGGCCGGTGGCTTAGCACCCTGGGCCTAACATTCAGAACCTGGGCGGGCTGGCAGCTGGGGGCAGTCTGCGTTGCTGGCAAGGGGAAGCAGGGAGCCTCGGGTGGGGATCGGGTAAGGGGATCTCAGCGCTCTGGGGCAGCTGGGGAAGAGAATGCTCTGTTGGAGACCAGCCCAGACCTGGGGGTTGCGTAGGAGTTGGGCTTCACCTGGGGCAGGTGGAGGGGAATTTCCTTCAAATCTGGGATCTAAAAAGTCCATCGGAGAGAGACGTGCTTACCCAGCACACAGGAGAAAGAGAGAGAGAGAGCAAGCGAGCGAGCACAGAGAGTGCGAGATGAACCAGTGGGGCTCCTACTGTCAAGAGCTGTTTGAGTTGTTCCCCTCCAATGTAAGAATTTCATGTCACCTCGTAAGCTACTTGTGGATACCCTAGAGAGAGTGGGATGTCAGCCAGCCTCAGAGTGGATTCCCTCTGTATTTCAGCAATGAAGAAACTAGTAAGACTGCCTAGATGTTTTCTGAGAGAATAAACATTAATTTTCCCAGGAAGATATTCATAGGAGATGCTCACTATCATGCATTATAAATATTCTTACTCCTGACGAGGCTTCCCTCCCCACCTGGGGTCGAAACATTGTGGGGATTATATAGTAGAACGTAAGACAAGGTGGGCTGGGGAAATCCCTCGGAAGCTAAAGGATTGGGCTGGGACACAATCCTGCCGCCATGATTTCTCTTCCTTCCCGGAAAGACGCATCAGGGATGGAGCACATGGTGTGGACCACAGCACATCCTGTCTCCCCCGGGACACTGGAAGAACAATGGGATCACATTATTATTTACAGTCGCATGTGACTGAAGCAAAATCTCCTCCCTTCCCTCTGATGGTTAGAAAATGCAGACCCCTCACCCTGGGAGAAATGAAAGCTGACATTTTCCATTTTTTATGCTTTGTAGATCCTTCCATCATGAACTCCTGGAAAGAAGAGAACTACCTATATGACACCAACTATGGTAGCACAGTAGGTAACTAACTCCCCAACACTGAACACCTCCACATTCTCATTCTGTCTCACAGCCACAGCCTTACGTTGCAAGGAGGGGCTGCTAATGCCATTTATTTTCCCACTGCTATAGACTTGTTGGACAGCAAAACCTTCTGCCGGGCCCAGATCTCCATGACAACCACTGGTCACCTTCCCGTCGGTAAGTTGTACTGACAACTGAAGCCAACGTGCCTACTGCGAGTGCTTACTGAGAATTAGTGGGAAAGAGAGGTCCATTACGCACACATGCAGGAATTAGTTGAGTCAAAGAGTTCCTGTGGTCCCTTAACTTGTACACTTCTGGATCGCTCCAGTTCTGTGAGATGGAGCCAGAGAAGTGCCCTCCTCCATGAACAGAGTCTGGGGCAACTTCAGAACTGGGATTTAATTGAGTCTTTGTGAAAGAAAGCACGGACTCAAACAACAACTCTTCCTTTTTTCTTTTTTCTTTCGTTGAGCGTATGTTTTTGAGAACAGGAATACGGAAGGGTTTGGGTTTGAGGTTTTGTTTTGGGTCAAGTGGCTTGAGTGAGACAGGGCTGGGAGCCAGCGTAAGTTGAGAGGCGTTGAGGTTTAAGGACTGAGGCCCATTCATTTCTCTGCTCTCCCACCCCTCCCCTCCAACAGCCTTTAGCATTATGTCTCACTTGTGTCGCTCGAAGGCTTTGTTGAAATTGGGAAATTGACCAAACACTGGGAAGGCATTGTCACTCTGGGAAACTAAGCCAGCTGGGGTGACATTTCTGTGGCAGTTGTCACCCCGACAATACCAGCGGCTTCGGGGCTCCGGGAACCTCTGCTTTCCTCTAGAATTGTCCTTCCATGTGGGTCTTGGACTTTCGGCAAAAGATTCCAGGTGAAAAGGAAGCTGAAGCCACCTCTTCCTGAGCCTTAGTGCTTGAGGCACTTGGGAAATCTAAAAGCTGCCGTCACAGCTCTGCTGTCCACAGCCCCCGGCTTGTTCTTCCTTCTCTCATCTGTATCTTGACTTCCACCTTTCAGAACCTAGGAGTCAACAGGGGCCGTCGCGGGCAGGGTCTGCTTCCATATTTGCAGTAAGAGCAGCTCACTGTCTCCTGAATCTACCTGTTGTGTTTCTGAACCGTCTGACTTTACAAATCTCTTCTTATTTCCCCTGGCTCTCATTCCTATCCCACAATTAGAACATGAGCTGGAAAATGAGTGACACAGCTCGGGACGTCTACGGGAATTATCACCAGTCAACACAGGGTCTGGGGTTGGTGAATTTTTTTGGAGTAGGAGCTCTCTATAGTCCATGACAACTTTGCAAGGCTCTGGGGGAGATCAGAACCACTCCCCCCACGCCTTCTCCACCCCCCAAAAAAGACCTTGGTCTTCTGCCTGCGTCTTTGCATTTCAGGTTCCCATAAAATGGAGTGCAGTTGAGTATGTGTCTAGGTTTTCGTGCAGGTTACAAGCCGAGCTGAGGCGAGGCTGAGCGTAAACTGATGCCCTTTGTGATAAATGTAGGTGGGGAAGCGGGCTTTGTTTTGATTTCTCTGTCATCTGCCCATTTCATAAAATGGCCCCCGCCAGTGTTCTGATCTGCTGGATAGCCTTGTAGCCAGTCATGCCAACTCAGGCTTGATGTGTTTATCTACTGACTTGTTGAGCCCAAAGCTAGGGTGGCACAGCCTATTGGAACTCTGACATTTGTATATCCCGTAAAGAAATGGCTCACAGGTGAATCATATGCAAATGCGCCTAATCTTTGCTTCTTGGGAAGCAGCTTAGCCGAAGCCATGCTCCCCTGCTTGCATCACAGTCTGGCTTCTCACTGCTCCTGCCTGGGCCCGCCGGACATCGGCCTGCAGTGACTGGGAGCCCTGCAAGAGAAAGCCGGGCCGGACAACTTCCCCCAGAGCGAGCGAGCCATTATTTCATACGCATGAGTCACTGAACCACCTGGCTGACTTCAAAGGTCTTGCTTTGTGTTTGGGGTGGGGGAGGGCAGAGGGGGTGAGACCTTCATATGAAAGCGAGGTTGCAGATCAAAAGATGTAGCATGAAGTCACGTCGGCGAGCCATGGGTTGCGCCTGCTCATTGGAACGGGGAGAGAGGGCTGGAAGAAATGAGATTTTTTTTTTTGCCTTTGGCTGCATTTTTCCCCATGATATGGTAAAACCATTTTTGTTTAGGGATTTTGTTTTTTTAATCCTTCCTACAGTGGATGGAAGTCTAGCCTGGGTAAACAGCTGGCATCTCAGGGTTTATGTAGTGTGGGAGATTTTATTTGAGAGTCCATGAACTTGTGAGTGGCCATGCACCCCTAAAATTGTTGACAAAATTTCCCAAGTGTGCACACTTCACACATGTGCACATTTCTCTGGGGGAGGGGCATGAAAGCTTGAATCTTACTCACAAAAGTAGCTGAATCCAAAGGAAGGGTTCTGGATCAGCTCGGAACTCACAGTGACAGGGGCCAGTATGCTGAGAGACACTTTTTTTTTTTTTTTTTTCCGGATTTTAGCCCTGGCTCTGAAATAATAGCCCTGCCTCCCTTCTGGGTGCTGGTTGAAAACCAGCATTGCTTGTGGCCTGCTGGGTAAATGCCACTCTTTGTCTGCAGAACAACATGGCCCTGTCAGAGTGATGTATCACTTGGAAACCCGGGGTGGGTGCCAGCCCTGTTGCAATATTGTCACATCCTGATGGGATGTTGCAACCTCACCCTGGAACCCACAGGGAGGCAGAGTGAAGACGCCTTACGTTTCCTGTGAATTTGTCTTTCCAGATTTCAGAGAAACAGAGTTAAGTGCAGGCACTCCTGATGCCAATGCCAAGGCAGAAATTCTTAGCCAGGAGAGGATCCTTTTGGGCCCAGATTGTATTCAATCCCTTTTCTTCATCCTGACATGGAATTTGGAGAAATTGTCCAGGGGGCTGATTCATGGCTAACTGGGTGATCAGACAGACAAATGGGCCCATGCCCCTTGAGAAATACAGAATCTCCAGGTTGGAATGAGTTTTTTCCACTAGTGAGAGCATTACAGCAATGAACTGACTCAGGCCAGGAGAGATCTTTGTGAAATCAGTTAAGTGCCAAAGGTGATTGAGCATAGGCCACCGTCTTTGGAAATGCCGTAGAGTGGTGGGTATGAGTTAAAGGTTTGTGTTCAAATCTTGGCTCCACTTTCAGTCTGGGTAACCATAGGCAAGTCATTGGCCTCTCTGGTTTTCAGAATTTTCACAGTTGTAACGTATGGATTAGTGGACAGTGTGGTATAGCACAACAGAGCGAGTCGTGAGAAATGGCTAGAGTGGTGCCTGGTGCAGGGTAAGTGCTCACTAGATACTAGCTCTTCCTCTTAGCCATTTTAATTAGGAACTAATAGTCACGTTGATACACTGTTTTGAAGAACAGATTGCTCTCGACATAGAAATGATGTGCACTCTCTCCCTTAGCGTGTAGTTTCAGTGAGTGCAGAATGCCCGGGAAGCCCACGTGTGTGTGAGTGAGCCCTCAGTTAGAAGCCCCGATGATCACGTACATGTAAGACGCCAGTTTGACGGGACCGACCCTTTTACAGCATTGGCTTGGGCTTAGGGGCTGCGTGTGTTAAAACTGGCTGGCTTTCCATTGTGGGCATTTTTGGCATGATCTTGATCTTCAGCAGATCCCAAGTACCCTCTGACACACACACACACACACACACACACACACACGGGTCACTGGGTTTTCTGTTTGGAAGCATTTTTATTTCACAGGTCAGCTTGAGGTGATGTTCTCGAACGTTAGCATACTGACTCATTGGCTAAACTAATCTATTTTCCATAGTCTACTGCGGCCTCTGTGCTGTGTTCAGGCCACTCAATGGCCCCTTTGTCAGGGTGATTAAAATGTAACTCTGTATGCCAAAAAAAGGCACACCTTTGGCTTAAAAGCTATCTTTCTTTGTTGTAAATGTTTACATTTTTGTGTTGTGGAAAAAAAAAATCCCTCCAGTGACCTAACTCTTTCCATAGCTTCCCATCTCTCACAGAATAAAGTCTTTGAAAAGTCTCATTAGACATTAATGGTCAGAGCGCCAGTTCCTATTCCCCTGCCTCCTGATGGCAGCCTTATGCTTCCTTCTGTTCTGTATGCATAACTAACACACATTGACCTCAGGGCCTGTGCACTTGCTATTATTAATCATAGAGGGTAGAAGGCTCTTGCACAAACTCTTCACATTGCATCCCTCTTAATATCCTTCAGATCCCCTTATCTGAGAGGTCCTTCTGACCACCTTGTATTAAATTGCAAGCTATTCCGACTTCCTTATTTCAATTCCCACTTCTTACTTTGCATTGTTTTTCGCTACAGCATGCATCATCTGTTTTGTTTGGTTCATTACCACATAGCCTCATGGTGTCAGGTATGCAGTAGGAGCTCCATATATACACAAGCACTTCGATACTTGGTAGAAAATGAAAAAAAAGCTTTACATGGATTTCAATTTCCTGTACCAAATAAATAAATCTTATTTGTGACTTATTTGAAAGTCACAGTTACACAGAGAGAGCGGGAGAGGCAGAGAGAGAGAGAGAGAGAGAGAGAGAGAGAGAAAGGTCTTCCATCTGCTGGCTCACTCCCCAGAGAGCTGCAATGGCCAGAGCTGCGCCAATCTGAGACCAGGAGCCAGGAACCTCCTCCAGGTCTCCCACGCGGGTGCAGGGGCCCAAGGACTTGGGCCATCTTCCACTGCTTTCCCAGGCCACAGCAGAGAGCTGGATCGGAAGCAGAGCAGCTGGGACTCAAACTTGCGCCCATATGGGATGCTGGCACTGCAGGTGGCGGCTTCACCCGCTATGCCACAGTGCCAGCTTCCCAATAAATCTTTTAATTCCATTTTTCTCTGAACCTCCTGAACTACCCTCATACTAGTTAAATGGATATGGTGAGTGCGGGGAGTGAGTTAATGCAATGGTTCTCATTCTTCTCCTAGCAGAGTCAGCTGATATGAAAAAGGAGCACGACCACCCTGCCAAGTCCCACACCAAAAAGCACAGTAAGTTGGTCACCTTCCCCTTGCTCTTGGCTTCTCCTTCAGGTTGGCCCTCCCTGGAGGCCACTTGTTTTAAGGCAAATTTGCCTCTGCTTGCTGCCTTTGTTTCTTTGCTGCAGACTGCATAGGAAGAGAAAAAAAGAGGCTTCGCTGGCTGGCAAAGCAACCTCTCTGCAGATGTTCCCCAAAGTGGGGTCCCCTCGTTATTTCTCTACATCCTGTAATATTTGACATAAGACTGGGAGTCCCAGTGGGGGGAAATGCCCAGCAGGTGTGGAGGTAGTGAGTTTTTCCTCTCTCCCCACCAAAAAGGGGGGGGAGAAAGCACTGAGATGAGTCATTCTTGCTCTTGTCAAATGGCACCCCCTTGCTTTTGTGCAATGATGGTTCCAAGACGTGACCGTTCAGTTTAAGATTTGCCATTGCTCTTTGGGAGTTGAATTTCCTCCAGTAATAAAACCTCATGGACACATATGAAATATCAGAGGTTTGGGATTGGTGGTAGTGAGGAGGAATGTCACACAGAAAGAAATAAGGTTGGTATAATCTAGAAATTAGAGGGACTTGGAATGTCTTTATTATCCACTGCTCTAAGTCATTCCAAAGAACTCAGTTTCCATAGAACTCAGATGGAGCGAGGAGGCATCAGAAACCCAACAGGAGTGGCACTGAGTGTGTTGCTAGACCTGTAATGGTAGCTGTTTCATTTTCTAATTGAGCCCCTCAACCCTCAACCTGGGTGACACTCTGATCCCTCTAAAATTCTCGAGGCTTACTTATAGTATTTGGCTGGGTCAAAACAATTAGTGGGTCAGACTGGTCTAGTTGGTTGAGGCACTGGATAAAACTGCTTGAATGTTGCTCTCCCAAAGAAGCAACAAGTGGAAGTGAGTTGTAGGTAATTTATGAATAATAATTAGAAGGAATATTCTTTGGCTTAGGAGACCTAAAGTCGATTCCTTAGTCTTGGCTTTGCCGCTAGTTGGCTGTGTAACCTTGGTAAACTCACTTCATTCTCTGTACCCTCAGTTTCCTGATTGTGCTAGCTCATCCTCAGATTTTTAAAAATCTATTTATGTATTCATTATCAAGAGAGAGACAGAGCAAAAGAGAGAGAGAGAGAGAGAGAGAGAGAGAGGTTGATTTTCCATCTGCTGGTTGATTCCTTAAATGCCTGAAGCAGTCAGGGCTGGGCCAGGGCAAAGCCAGGAGCTTAGAACGCAGTCTGGGTCTTCCACATGCATGGTAAGAATCCAAATACTTGAGTCATCATCTACTGCCTCCCAGCGTGTACATTAGCAGGAAGCTGGATCAGAAGTGGGGTGGCTGGGACTTGAACCAGGTACTTTGATATGGGATGCTGGTGTCCCAAGTGGCAACTTAACAACGGTGCCAAACACCGACTCCCTCAAATAACTTAAAAAAAAAAAATCCAGTATTTGGTGACTCTGATCTGATCTGGCTTCCTTGGTGCGTAGGGGAGAATGGCATGTCTCCTGCTCGGTGGGAGGCTCTGTAACTCAGCGCTCCCTCCGCCCCTGCTTTGCTGGGAGTCAGGACAGTAATAACCTCTTTTTGTGCTTTGCGTCAGATCCAAGAGGGACTCACCTGTGGGAATTCATCCGCGACATCCTCCTGAACCCAGACAAGAACCCGGGGCTAATCAAATGGGAAGACCGGTCCGAGGGCATCTTCAGGTTCTTGAAATCAGAGGCTGTGGCTCAGCTGTGGGGCAAAAAGAAAAACAACAGCAGCATGACCTACGAGAAGCTCAGCAGGGCCATGAGGTGAGGGGTCTCACGTCTCTGAAAATGCTGAGGCCGCAAGACCCGCCATTCGCCCCGGTGCTCTGTCCGATCCCTCTGCCTGACCACTTTCTGCGTTCTGCTTTGTTGCATACAGATATTACTACAAAAGAGAAATTCTGGAACGTGTGGATGGACGCAGACTGGTATATAAATTTGGGAAGAATGCTCGTGGCTGGAGAGAAAATGAAAATTGAAGCTGCCAACCCTTTTGAGCACAAACCAGCATACACACAGAATACTTACAAATGGCGAACTCCTGGACGTGACTATTTCAAAGACGGCTTTTTCTCTGATATTTATGTACCATAAGGGGAAAACAAAATCTACTTCTAATGGGAAGAAGGAACACTACAGTTGATAAAGAAAATTATTTTGTTACTTTGAAGTATGTCCTATATGGGGAACAAATGTACACAGTTTTCTGTGAAATATGATGCTGTACGTGGTTGTGGTTTGGTTTTGCCTCTATTGTGAAGTCCTTTTCCACTGCAAGAATCACACAGTTTGTAGCCTTGTGCTTCTTGCTAAGAGAAAGGGGAAAAAAATGAAAAGAAAAAAACCCAGAGGGCATTAAATGTTTTTGTATGCAAAATAATTTAGACAGAGGTGATGTATTCTCTGCACAGGAGCATCCACATGGTTGCTGGGTTGAACTTCTGGGTGGGATACACTGCAAGGATGCTAGGAGGTTTGACTTGACCTTTAGGAGCCAATGAATGGAGAACGGGGACTTCCAAAATCCAGGGTGGACTCTAATCACTGCATAATCGCTTGACTTGGAGTGTTTAACTTAGTGAGAGGAATAATGGTAGGGTGCTTTGTACTCATCCTGGGATGATTTACCAGATGCTAGGGCTCTCCTCCCATCTTCCCCTTGGATGGTTGGTGAAAAACCATCCATGGCCAGGACTTCTCACTTCCAGCTATTTAAGAGAGGGTCCAGCCTTGGCTATTTTTATTCCAGCTGTTCACAAAGAAGTGGGGAGAAGGAGATGGTGAAATGGAAATGACAGATGAGTTTTCTCCTCAGAGCCCAGGGTTTCTCAAGCGGCACAGCTGACATTTTTGGCTGGGTGGTTCTTTGTGGGAGGGGCTGCTGAGTGCCTTGTCAGCTGTTTAGCCATATCCATGGCCTCTGCTCACTAGATCCCAGCAACACTTGGAGCCAAAAATGTCCCCATATATCATAAAATGGTCTACTGGGGACAAAATTGCCCTTGACTGAGAATCCCTGATTTAGCCAGTCAAGATGATGATGGTGATTTATTCTTGGAACGAAAAAGATATGAAAGACCTTTCAGTATCGGAAGCAAAGCAAAGCAGGATTTCATAGATTTATTTTTCAAAATGTTAAAGACAGGGGTTAAAATATCTATCATGACCTCTTTTCAGAACCCCAGATAAGAACTCATGTCAGACAGATTAAAGATAGCAACAAAGCAAAAACTCCAGTAAAAGACTTTTTCACAAGAATCACAAAGTGAAGTGAAGATTACATTCCAGAAGGAAAAGTTGAGAAAAATGTGTGTGTGTGTGTGTGTGTGTGTGAGAGAGAGAGAGAGAGGGGGAGGGAGAGAGGGAGGGAGAGAGAGAGAGAAAATCTTTGCAGGTGTTGATTCTTACAATCCTTCCATTGTTGATTCTTCTCTTTCCTGTCTCATCCGAACTCATTCCAAGGTGAATGATTTGTTGCCTAGATTTGTACCCAATATTTTATGTTATAACTTTTTTTTTAAAAGAAAGGAAGAATAGAAAAAATAAATAGAAAATTCAGCTCAGAAACTATTGTCACCATGGAGTTGGAAGCTTCTGCAATGATAGGATTATTCTGGGACACCCGGAGATTCATCTGGGAGGAACATGAGTCTGTAGACACTTTGAAAATGACTTTGCACATCAAGTTCCCTTTTACAACTTTTCTTTTTTGGCTCTTCTTGTTTTTTGTTTTGTTTTTGTCTTTCTCCTCTCTCCTGGCTCTCTATCTTGAGCAATAATATGGGAACAAAAACATTCATTTGGTAGGAGGGAGTACTTTTCACCAGCTCATAGAGGACCTTCTACAGGGTCTTCTCTGGCTGAGGTAGAATGATTCACATTCAAAGACTGCTAGGTGTTTATAATGCGCTCATGTTCAGAAGGCTGGGTGTAAGAAGAATTAATAATTTTCCCTAATTACATTAAGAATCACTATGGGTGGTAACCTTGGAGCATCTGCAAAAGACCTTCTGAAGGTACAGCCACGTCCGTTTTTATTTCTGCCTAGCCTGGTCACCTCTACAGAGGCTCTGCTTGGTGTGGTCAAGTAGCAGTGATGGACAAAGTAAGGAAAGTTCCAAAGATCAGCCAGGACATTCATGCACAAAAGACACATCTTGCTCTCCAAGCAGTGCTAAGGAACTTTGAGGCCTTCCCAGCATTTGGCTGTACTTCACAGTATAAATGAAAAATCCAGATAACTGAAGTGCTGTGAATACATGGGTATTTGGGTGTCCGTGTGCTTGTGAAGTTATTAGGGACATTTTCTTTCCCTGGCTTGGCCTGTTCATTACATGAGGCGGCTAGCTCCTTCTCTGAGTTCACCCATCCTCAAACCTGCAAGTTTCTCATGTTTCTTCAAATGGATTTTGGCTCTTTCTACAGCCTTTTGATTGAAGAGCAGTCCTTGCTAGGGAGTAAGCGAATCTGGGCAGTCCCAGCCAGAAGAGTTCTGCAGATAATTAGCAGATTGTGTTATTTGTTGAAAGTGATGGCTTCTTGGCACACAGTGTCTGTTTAAATAGGCTGGAGAATTAAGTTCTCAGCAGATCTCTCTATTGTCTTGGCTTGATATTGCTGCATTTTCTATGTGCTGTTCGTGACTTGGAGAACGCAAGGTAATTGAACCATGCCAACTTAAGGTGTAAACAGCGTACTTCTTACCACAGTGTTGAAAGGGAGAACACAGTCCTGCAGAAAAGTCCCCCTTTCTTTTGGGGAGATACGGCTTCTCCCTGGAGTAGCTTGTTTGTGCTAGATGTCCACATGGTCACCAAGTACAACCTTCTTGGACCTTCCTTAAGCTAAGGGCTTCCACAGCTTTTCATGGGAACTTGAGGCAGGAACTGTACTGCTAAGACTTTACCAGACTTGAATCATCTGAAGCTCCTAGACATTTGACCTACGTGCCTTCAGCTTCTTGAAGGTGCCCTGGAGCAGCACAGACCCAGATGTTGAGATGATACTGGTCCTTCCTCCAAGTTCTGGTCTTGCCGGACTGTCATCTCTTTAACAGCAGGGACTGTATCTTATCATTATTGCTTTCTTGGTGCCTAGCACGAGACAGTGCACACTAACTCTTTGTTGACTAAATGAATGAATGAGTTCTAGAAGACAGCTGTGATTTGGAGGACATGCCTATTATTGGGGTATAGATCATTTCTTCACTGGAAAAAGAACACAACGCCAAGCCTCCAAGGACATAGGATCTTTTATGGATATTCTACTGTGAGATTCCTTACTTGCCTTACTACCGTGCTCAAATGAAACCAAAACAGGCTGTTTGGTTCCACAAGTCAATGTATGTTAGATGAGATTTCTGTTGCCTTATTTGGAACTGTGAGACTTCCCTGGTACATGGCGCCAGTGGTGATGAACCTTTGACATGTTTTAACAAATGAAGATTATGAATGTGTTTTTATGATGTAAATTGCTATTTAAATGGAAATTAGTCCTAAGTTTTAGTGTTTTTGGGTTGGTTTTTATTTTTTCTTTTTGAAACGTACTTAGGGATCTTTTGATAAGGTTGATAATGTATATGAGATTTTAGTTTTACAAGTGTGTTATTTTTCAGATGTATAAATATAGAAAAAGGTAAAATAGAGGAAAAGGCAATTGTATTTTTCTTTTATGGTCAAAAAAAGCATTTGCTGAGTGCCTACTATGTGCATAGCATGGAACTGTATATATGAGGAAGTTGTCTAATTCCATAGTGTGCCATAGACACTTGTCATGTACCTGCTGGATGGATATTTGCAGTGTAAATGAAAGAGTGTTGTAGCAATCACAATATCAGAGCTGAATTTTCCTCAGTGTTAGTTCCCAGGATTCAGCTTCTGGAATAGGAAATAGAGCAGCTGAAAACAAACAAAACAAAAAACAACAACTTGTTGAGACTATGCCTTAGGACCCTCTGCAATGTACAGGCCTTCACAGGTTTAGCTAAATTGGGATTAATCTTTCTGTAGCTATCTGCGTAATTCTTGCTTTTCTTCCCATCTGGCTTCTGGGTTGACAATTTGTGGGAAATAACCCTTGGGCTATTGCATTTTTAAAAAAAATCACAAATCTTTCCCTTGAAACTGTGTTAAATTCAAACTGAGCATTTCTGTTTTATGAAAGAATTATATTTTTCAAAATGTGGGTTTTTTTTTTTGATGAGTCCCTGAAAACACTAATAAAACCAGAGACCAGCCTATAAATGTATGCTTCATTCTTTAACAGACCATCCAAAAGTAAGCAGTGGAACATACATAGCTTTTGCATTTGTTTCCTCAACAAGCGCTTATTATCTACCACGTGGCAGACTGTCTCTTAGGCACTGAGATATGGCAGAGAACGACAGAGACAAAAATCATCTACTGTCATGAAGTCCGTATTTGGGATGGAAACAAACAAGAAAAAACCGCTAACCAGCAGATAAATAAAATGCAGCATATCAGGTTGTAGTAAAGAAACGGAGGGCAAGGAAGAGAGCCAGAAAGTGCTAGAGCACACACGTTTCTGTGGTTAAAGACACACTAAGCTGAGCAATTATTTCCAGAGGTGTTTACTGACGGATTCCTTAGAGTCTTCATCACGGTGGCCATTGTCAGTCTGAGGGTGCTTCAGAAAGTTCACGGAAAATGGGATTAAACAAAAAATTTATTTTGGTGACAAAATATTTGAAATCCAAGCATAGTTTCTTCATAATATGCATTTTGGGTGGGGAGGGGGTTGCAGCATTATGGTGCAGTGGGTTAAGCCACCGCATGCAATGCTGCATCCCAGCTGCTCCACTTCCAATCCAGCTCCCTGCTAATGCACCTGGGAAAGCAGTAGAAAACGGCTCAAATATTTGGGCCCCTGTCACCCATGTGGGAAACTGATGGCTTCAGCCTGGACCCGCCCAGACCATTGTGGCCATTTGGGCAGTGAACCAGCAAATTGAAGATCTCGCTCTCTCTCTTCTTCCTCTTTATCACTCTGCCTTTCAAATAAATAAATAAACCTTTAAAACATACGCATTTTTTTCATGGCCTTTGGAAGATACCTTGTATGTATGGATTTCAAAATTTGGGGCTCCAAGATAAGCTTATCTTTTATTTCCCATGACCTTATTGAAGTCCTCTAATTCAAGGGAAGGAGAAAGTGTGCCCAGTTTCCCAAGCCTATGTGACAACAGGTCCTGTTCAGCAAAGAAGACCTCGTGAAACCAGCATTCCTGAGAATACACTTAGAGAAATAATGATCTTTGCAGATTATTTTTCTTTTTTTAAAAGTTTTATTTTATTTATTTGAAAGAGTTTCAGAGAGGTAGAGACAGAGAGAGAGGTCTTCCATCTGCTGGCTCACTCCCTG